CACCTGGCTATTTTTTGGTTGCAGCCATTATTGTTGTTTGGCGGGCCGGGCTGGGGATTCGAACCCGCCACCTTAGGTGTATGTGGCTGAGCCACAGGCGCCGAGCCTAGTGATTCTTTTTAAAAAATAATCTTGCTGAACATTTTCTAGAAGTGAATTAAGATATTTGAGAGTTGAATTTAGTCACATTTTCTGGCTTAGACCTTATATATCATTTTGTTTACTCATTTTTCCTTTGCCCTATTCCTTTTTTTTTTTTTTTTTTTTTTAAGAGTCTCACTATGTCGCCCTTGGTAGAGTGCCATGGGGTCACAGCTCACAGCAACCTCATACTCTTGGGCTTAAATGATTCTCTTGCCTCAGCCTCCTAAGTAGCTGGGACTACAGGCGCCCGCTGCAACACTTGGCTGTTTTGTTGTTGTTGCTGTCACTGTTTGGCAGGACCGGGCCAGGTTTGTACCTGACAGCCCTGGCGTATGTGGACGGCGCCCTAGCCACTGAGCTACAGGAGCCAAGCCAGTATTTATATCTTATAATTATATTGAGACCTTTAAAGGAATGTTTCTAATCCATCTCTTCCCTTCATTCCCCATTCCAAGTATCAAAATATGCCTCTTAAATGACTTATTAATGTATTTGGAAGAAAATGTCAGATTTATTAAGGTGCTATGTGGAAGAATTATAGCTTGGTATTTTAAAAACAAAAGTACATTTGAAACCCTTACCTTTACTATGTCACATTTATAATCTTATCCTTGTATTTAGTGTGTAGAAACTACATTTTGTGATTACCTCTAACAAAAAACACACAGAACCTTTCAATTTGCAAGTATCTGACATAGGAATTACCTTAGAAGAAAGTAGCATCAGAAGAGTTATTTTCAGAGCCCCTGTATGTTTGGGCACTTAATCCTAACATTTTTTATTCTTTTATGCAGAATATTATGACTGAGAAGGAAAGGTACTTTCTCTTTGCAGGTGTTGGAAGTTAACAAGTGACTATGCTCAGGGGCATCTACTTTTAGGAGCTATAACAATCTAGCTTGTGCCTGCTTCAGTGTAGAAAAATAACCTCTGTTCTATTGCTAATAAAGAGGAATATTCCTGACACATGTCTTTAGTATTTGCATGTCTAAGTCCTACAAAAGATTTCAAGATTCTTGCAAGCAGGGACTATATATATTTATGTACCCTACAAATTTTTTTATGTATATATCCTATATACCTAACACATTGGAGATACTTAGAAAAAAGGAATGACTGGAATTTGTGATGGATTTTCCATGGAAGTCCTACATACTTAGTTGGTTATACTTCATGCAGTAGTGTTTATGGTTAGTCTGCCCAAAACCTTTGGAGAATGTGTTCTTTTTTTTTTTTTCTTTGAGACAGAGTCTCAAGCTGTTGCCCTGGATAGAGTGATATGGCGTCACAGCTCACCGCACCCTCAAACTCTTGGGCTTAAGCAATTTTCTTACCTCAGCCTCCCAAGTATCTGGGACTTTAGGTGCCGGCCACAATGCCCAGCTTTTTTTTGTTACAGTTGTCATTGTTCTTTTAGCTGGCCCGGCCAGGTTCCAACCTGCCAGCCTCGATGTAAGAGGCTGGTGCCTACCCACTAAGCTACAGGCACCACCCAAGGAGAATGTGTACTTAATATCTTGAGTATAGTTATC